AAGAAAAGAAAGGAAAGGAAGAAAGAAAGGAAAGGAAAGAAAGGAAATAAAGGACAAGATCGAGTGTGAGGTGACTCTCTCATTTCCTTTTCTTTTACATTTCATTCCAAAATTTCACATGCCAACTGTTCTAATCTCTTTCCTATTAAAATCTATGACTTTCACGTTTGAACTCATCCCCCAGAAATCACACATTTGCTAAATTTATCCAAAAGTCTGTCCAAAAGCTCATCCAAAAGCTCGAAAATTGCTTTGTTTCAATTTTCCTGTTACCCAATCGATTTTTAACTTTACCAAAATAAACTTTAACTCTAAACAAAATAAACTCTTAGGCAATAAACAGAAAACTTAGGCAGAAAGGCAATAAACAGGCAATAAACAGAAAATCTATTCAATTCAATTTATTCTATCAAACCGGTTTAATTTTTTAACGAACATATATAAGCAAATGATAGTGAGGTAAATTGGTACAATGCCATTCAATGTGAATGGTACAATGCCATTCAATGCATTTCCTAATGCCATTCAATGCCTTTCAATGCCTTTCAATGCCTTTCAATGCCTTTCCTAATGCCAAAGTGTGTTCGAAATCTTACACCCATCTTTCCCTCTCAGTCGGCCACCTCAGTCAGTCAGATGCACATGTGAAACGCATAAAATCCCCGTAAAATCCACGGTGGAATCGGAAACAAAAAAAAAGATCATTGACAATTGAAAATAAAAAGATGCTCGCTTACAAAAACGTGAAAATTTTCCTGTTTACGTAATCGCACGGCTTCTGGCGCACGGCCTCTAGGGATAAAAGACAAAACGCAGACTAGGTTTCGCTTTTTTTCTCCAATTTGGTTTAATTATCCAAGTTTTAGAGAGTTTTGTGATGACCGTATTGGCTCGAAATTAAAGTTACTCAAAAACTAATAACGAATTCAGAATCTTCATCCCAGAATGCCTTCGGTTACAAATTTTCAGGTCTACAGCTACAGATAATCCAAAATGCCAATCAAGCCAAAAATGACTTTGTCGTCAATGTATTAAAATAAAATTTGAGTCGATTACCATATTCTCTCTAATAGAAAGTACTAGAAAGAGTACTAGAAAGTACTAGAAAGAGTACAATCTTGAGTGTACTAGAAAGAGTACTAGAAAGTACTAGAAAGAGTACAATCTTGAGTGTACTAGAAAGAGTTTTGTTTAATCAATTTGATAACAAATTACAAGAATCCTTTGTATTTTATTTTTTCTAGAAAATTCAAATTTTTTACATTAATATAACGAAATACTGTTTTTTCAAACTACCGTATTTTCTCTAATAGTTTTGTCTCTAGAAAGTACTAGAAAGAGTACTAGAAAGAGTACTAGAAAGTACTCGAAAGAGTAGTAGAAAGAGTAGTGCACCCTGAGTGTCGCCTAAATTCCTTGAAATCTCGAGAACCGCTTATCAGACCCTATCGATGTGGGGTCAGAAAATGTAGCTGACGATGAGATCTAGTGGGGGATTTGAGTGTTGAGCTTCTGCGGAAGCTTCGAAACCGTAAAATAGTCATCAACTCGCCTCACAGGGAAATATTAGGGAAATAAATCAGTCTGATCTCCTAGCCTAGCCTGGAATAATATACCGTATTTTCTCTAATAGTAGTGTACCTAAAGCGTCGCCTAAATTCCTTGAAATCTCGAGAACCGCTTATCAGAATCTATCGATGTGGGGTCGGAAAGTGTAGCTGACGATGAGATCTAGTGGAGGATTAGAGTGTTGGACTTCTGCGGAAGCTTCGAAACCGTAAAATAGTCATTAACTCGGCTTGCCGGGGTGCACTACTATTAGAGAAAATACGTTAAGTTGAAACAATATTTTCAATTTTCCGATGACAGTAATTTTGCTTTTTTTTAAACTGTTCAGAGGGATCAAAAATTAGCTTAAAAGCAGAAAAGAACCATAAAATACCTAAACTTTAGTATATAAACAATTTTTTTTCAAAAAATTTGATTCAAACTAAAGGCAAACTGATGAAAAATGATTTGAAATTGATGTTTTTGAAAAGAAAGAAAAAAAACAGAGCGCAAAGGTGTCACCCAACACCTCGAATTCCCACCCTGAACAGCTAGGGTCGATTGTCGTCCGATTTTTCTCTCTTTTCCCCTTTTTCTAAAACATTTAAATTTTTCACGAAACTGCAATTCTGATGAGACGGCGTTTGTTGAGAAAAATGTTGAGAAAACAGGTGCGTTTAGCCCTTTTTTTTCTCTCTTTTGAATTCCGAATAAGTATTTTGAAAAGAAAGAGAAAAAAAGAGGGGATTTCAAGCAATATTTCACAAAGAGCAAGATTTAAATAAGTAAGACAGTAAATTAGTAAATTAGTAAATGCAAAATTTAAATTAATAAGGTAATTGCAAACTTTTAAAGTCAAAGACCCATAAAATGAACTGATTCATTGCCGAATTTTGATCACGATTACCGGGGTAGGCTAATTTCCGCAATTTTTTTTGCGCAACTCGCCATAACTTTCTTCTAAGTGAACCAAGTATAATTTAGAGAAGGGGGCACATTTTAGAAAATACTCTAGTAAATGTAAATGCTTTAACATTAATAGTAACATTTCTCTGAAAATCTTGTCTCACTTGAAACACGCTCTTTGGGGGTGGCTAATTTCCGCAATTTTTTTTGCGCAACAGGATCATTTGCGCAACTGGGTCGTGTGCGCAACTGGGTCGTGTGCGCAACTGGGTCGTGTGCGCAACTGGGTCGTGTGCGCAACTGGGTCGTGTGCGCAACTGGGTCGTGTGCGCAACAGGATCATTTGCGCAACTGGGTCGTGTGCGCAACTGGGTCGTGTGCGCAACAGGATCATTTGCGCAACTGGGTCGTGTGCGCAACTGGGTCGTGTGCGCAACAGGATCATTTGCGCAACTGGGTCGTGTGCGCAACAGGATCATTTGCGCAACTGGGTCGTGTGCGCAACTCGCCATAACTTTCTTCTAAGTGAACCAATCTTTATGATTTTGGGTTCATTTTGTTGCACTTATTGAGATCTACAAAATGAAGCCAAGATCATAAAGATTGGCCGACGTAGAAGAAAGTCATGGCGAGTTGCGCACACGACCCAGTTGCGCAAATGATCCTGTTGCGCAAAAAAAATTGCGGAAATTAGCCTACCCCCGATTACCTTCACTTTCAAACATAGATACTATTTATTTCTTTAAGATTTTTCTATAAAAAAAGAGTACAAAGCAGAGTGCTGTTCAGAATTTGTAAACACGTAAAGCAATTTTGTATGATCCTTGCAACACCTTGAGTGTGGTTTACTTTCATCAAAAACATTAATTTAAATCGATATCTGACGGAGTTATTGATTCAATTGACCATAGAAAAACTAGACTCTTTGAACTCTCACTCTCACTTTGAAACATTCACTTTCAATGCATTTCGATGAAACTCCGAAAACTTACAAACAAACTTTGTGAACACTTTGTGAACACAAGGGAATGGTCCGAAGTTGTGATTGTTTGGGATGAATGATCCCTCATTCGATAGCCCTTATGATGAATATTGATAGCCAAAAAATTAGTTGCCTAAAGTGACTCTACAACGAGAAATTGGGCCGACAAAGCAAAAAATGAACGGTCAGAAGTTGATGATCTTGATCTCACAAGAGAATCGTCCAAAGTTGACGATCATGAACCCACAAGAGAATCATCCAAAGTTCCAAATCATCCAATGATCTTGATTCCCTTGATCTTGACTCACTCACGATTCCCTTGCTAGTTCAAGATCATCAACTTCATCAATTGCACAGAAATCTCGGACCAGACTTTCTTCAAAGCATTTTTTTAAGGCATCCACTGCCACCACCAGAAATCCTGTCTTCCAGAATTGAACATATCGAGAAGTCTAACGGGTTCAAATTAGCGCTATTCGAAGGCCAGACGTTCTTTCTCCAAAATATTACGGTTCTCTTGTTCTTGCGATCCTTCAAATTGGTGACTGAAAAAAGAACTTTAGCTAGTTTTTTCAATCAAAAATAAGTTCAAGTTAAAAAATATTGGGTTGTCCAGTTATGAATGCGCGTTTTTACTATTTTGTAAATTTCTCAAGATATCGAACAGATGTATATGAGTTTTATATATCATTCGAAAGCTGAAGATCTCCTCTACATTTTGATATAAAAACCTTTGGAATTTGTTCAGCTTTTGGGCAAATTGACTGCACAAAGGGAGAGGTCGTTTTCGAAAAAATTCATTTCAGCTTAGCTATTCCTCAAGTTTTATGGTGTAAAATAACCGCCCAGAAAAGAAAAGAAAAGTAAAGATGCTCTGAAGTTGTTATATTTTTTTAAAAACTTGTATTGATATATCTATTGGCCAAACATCAAACGGTTAACTCAATTTGAGCGGAGCCAAAACTTGATCCAATGGCACCCTTCCATTTTTTTGGCCACCTCTTCTTCTGTGCAGTCAATTTGCCCAAAAGCTGAACAAATTCCAAAGCTTTTTATATCAAAATGTAGAGGAGATCTTCAGCTTTCGAATAATACTCCTATAAATCCTTTTCTTGATTTCGGTATCTTGAGAAATTTACAAAATAGTAAAAAACGCGCATTCATAACTGGACAACCTAATAGTAATAGAAGCTAAAATGCAAAAAGAATTGCATAAATAACACAAAAATAGCTGAATTTTGAAAAGTTTTCAAACTTTTGGAACACCCTGTATACTCATTTACCTATTCGAAAGCATTTTAAGCATTTGACATCATCTAAAATAGCTTTTTTTGTGCTATATTTATCAGATCGATGATGCAAACTTGTTTTCTCAAACGTTGTGAGTTTTCCGAAAAGAGTGAACCTTTAAAATACACAAAGTGTGCGATTAAATTATCGGGTGTCCATTTGATTACAAAAAAAAAGGTCATTACTTACTAAAAAAGCCATTACTGAAAACCACATGATATCAAAAAGGGTAAAAGTCACTTTCTAAATATTGACTAAATTCTATTTTTTAGAAATGGCGTTAAAAGATTCGAAATTTTGGAGATACATCGATGTGGTCATCGTTTTAGCAATCACTTTTTCGTTTTTAGGTGAGTTTTTCTGGTAGCCTGAGCCTGAGCTTTTATAGGCAGCTTTCAAGCTTTTTAAAATTTCATCTTGATCATTATAATGTATTGGTTTGGTGGAAAAGTCCTTTCCGATTTTTTGGGAGAGTACCTTAAATTTGTCGAATTTTGACGTTTTATAGCTCATCCTAAAGCTGAATTCAAGACCGATCGATTGGTAAAAACCGTTTTGAGATATCTCTTTTCTAAAAGTTTTTACAGCTATTTTAGTAAAGGGGGCAGAGCCAAAAAATGGCTGTTTTCACGTTTCGTTAGTTTCGAGTCATTTCGAGCTTTCGAATTTTACCGAAAATCGAGCTTCATTCGATAAACCAATCCACAAAAACAGGCGTCTAGCTAAGGCGAATATTAACAGCAACAAAGCGAACAGTGTAATGTAATGAAAATTTATAAATCGTCATTTAAAGACAATGAGTGACATTTAAAGACAATGAGTGACATTTAAAGACAATCACTACAAGTATTTGACTTCAAATACTTGACTACTTTTGATAATAAACCCTAGAAAACTTGCTCATTTTTTCGTTTTCAAAATATTGGGTTGATGGAAAAGTCCTTTCGGATTTTTTGGGAGAGTACCTTAAATTTGTCGAATTTAGACGTTTTTTAGCTCATCCTAAAGCTGAATTCAAGACGGATCGATTGGTAAAAACCGTTTTGAGATATCTCTTTTCTAAAAGTTTTTATAGCTATTTTAGTAAAGGGGGGCAGAGCCAAAAAATGGCTGTTTTCACGTTTCGTTAGTTTTCCGTGCAGAAACCTAGGCTAAAACCATTTGTTTCGTGATCAGCATCAAAATTAACCCCTAGACACGCATTTTCAGAATCTTAGCAAAAAATTTCTTGAAAAATATGGTCACCGGTGGAAGTCGAACCAGCGACCCTCAGATCAATGCCTTTCCGCCGCTTTTCGCGTTTTCCTTCGTTTTTCTCGTTTTTTGTTGAAGAATGCCCTGATGGTCCCACCAAACACACAGCATTGTCTTTTTCGGGTCAAGTTCTGCTTTTACCCTTGGAGTTGCTTGTTGATCGGAATCAGCCCATACTTTCCTTGACTTCACATTCACGTAGAGACACCATTTTTCGTCACCTGTCACTATCCGATGAATAAATCGACGATCCTGACCTCGGGTTTTCATGTGCCTATCAAGAAAAAACAAAAAATTTCTTGAAAAATATTGTCACCGGTGGAAGTCGAACCAGCGACCCTCAGATCAATAGCCTTTCAATAGCTTTTCGCGATTTTCCTTCATTTTTAAAGAAATTTGATCAATATAAAGAAATTTGAAGAGAAAAAGATGATAAATTTCCATTATGAAAGTCTAGCTTGCAAACTTTTCTTTGTCTCGACTTTTTGGTTGGTCTTTTTCAGAGTTTACTGATTAGTTAAACTGAAAATTTGATTAACTTCATAAATCATTTCATAATCATAAACTTTTTAGGTTTATATATTGTGCTAACGGGTTTATCTGATATGAATTGGGCACTGCTAAAGCAACGAGTTGAAATCGATGATCAGTTGGCAGAGTCGATTGTAGCGATTGGAAAATATGGGGAATATGTGGTAAGGCGTTTAGGGTGACCAGAAATAGCCCGTCCTAATCGTTCGTTCTATTAGGATGGTGCAAAAGAAACTGTTGATTTGACGGTAAATTTAAAAAAAAAAAGATGGCATTCGATGGTGACATGATCACAATGGAATATTTTCGCAAGATCGCGAGCAGATTGGCATGGATCGCCCTGAATAACGTCCCTCAGCTTGGCTTCGTTCACGTTCTGGCTTGGCTTCGTTCTGGCCTCGAACTCGAACTCGAACGTGCTCGTAATCTTCCAAAGCCTCGTCTCCCTCTCGGAATCGTTGAAACCAAGTCTGACACTGCCTGAGAGGCAAACTGCCATCTCCGAAAGCGGACCTTCCATCTTAATTGAATCAGAGATATTCAAAATCAAAGCATCAATTTAAATAAGATTTCACAGAAAAGAGCTACTTTTCTGCACAGATGATGCTTATTTTTTTTAGAATAAATTGTTATCTAAAGAGATTTAAATTTAATTTAATGTTTCTAAAAAAACCGAAAATGGCATCAACTTTTGCTTTCTCATTGTTTAAAGTGATTTGATTGTTGATTGATTTCAATTGATTCAGTTGATTCAGTTGATTCAGTTGATTCCAGTTGATTTAGTTGATTCAGTTGATTCAATTGATTCCAGTTGATTCAGTTGATTCAGTTGATTTCAATTGATTCAGTTGATTCCAGTTGATTCAGTTGATTCCAGTTGATTCAGTTGATTCAATTGATTCAATTGATTCAATTGATTCAATTGATTCAATTGATTCAGTTGATTCAGTTGATTCAGTTGATTCAGTTGATTCAGTTGATTCAGTTGATTCAGTTGATTCAGTTGATTCAATGGATTCAATTGATTTCAATTGATTCAGTTGATTTCAGTTAATTCAATTGATTCAATTGATTCAGTTGATTTCATTTGATTCAGTTGATTCAGTTGATTTCAGTTGATGTGTGTAAGTGTGATTATCATCCCCATTGCAATCTATGTAATCTTCCGAAACGATCGTTTGACCTTACCGATTCGGTTTGTTAAAAAAACTCATTTTCTAATAAAACGTAAAACGTTCAGCTTGTTGGCAATAAACGAAAATTTAGCGAAATTCCTATTTGCATTAGTCTTTTTAAGCTATCACTATTGTGCGATTCCAATTCATCCAACTGGGTAGTTGAAAAGTCTTTCTCTCATTCCTCTCATTTATCTAATTCTAGATGCTCAAACGATGTCTACTCTGCTTTAAACTCAACATATCGAAACTTTTTACCCTGGTTTATTCTGCGAGATGTGGCTCAATACAGTCAATTGTTTATTTCATTAAGGTGATAAACATATTTGGTTGGTCAATTGAAAACTGCGGGATTTTGAACTAAAATTTATTCAATATAAAAACCATCAATTCATTCCAAATAATTTCCATTATTATTGACGACTTCTGCCCATTTTACAGGCGATTTGCGGATTCCTCTTTCGTAGTAGGATTTTGGTTTGTGTGTGAGACAAGTGCGAGACTCAAAAATGGAGGACTGGAGATGTCCCAGTAAGGCTATTTATTTTAGAGCGAGTCAGTTTTGCAACATGAGGGCGCGCGTTGTCGTGAAGGAGAACGATCTTTGACTTGGAGGGCCTATTCTTCTTCATGGATTCATTCACTTTTCCCAACTGTTCGCTGTATTTTATTGCATTAAGGGTCGTCTTGCTATCAAGTGTGAGACAAGTGTGAGAAATGGAGGACTGGAGATGTCCCAGTTTGAGCATTTGAGCACTTTCTTCAAAAGAAACCCATTTTGGTGTCAATAGAAAAGTTGTAGAGAATCAAAAATTAGGCTTATAGCCAAATTTCCAAAAAGATACACTTAGTAGTTTCGCTTAAAATGCAAGTTTTGTGAAAATTCGTAAATTTCGCATTTCTTGAAAACCAGTTTTTGAATCGTTCTGAAAATTTGGATATAAGCTTAATTTTTGATTCTCTACAACTTTTCCATTGACACCAAAATGGGTTTCTTTTGAAGAAAGTGCTCAAACTGTCACATATGACAATAGCCGGCAGTTTTCAATTCACCAACCCAAAAGAAAGCTGTTCTTGCCACTTTAACATTTTCTAAGGGCAGATTATTTTCAAGCCTATGCCGATTGCCATCAAATCAAAGCTATGCCAAATACAAAAATGTCAAAGTAACATAATGTTCGATCTAGTCGTTTCCTTGCTCTTTCCTTTGATGGTTTGCTCTTCATCTACACTTTGAGATGGCCATTTTTTCAAATTGCTCTCCCATGGCTGCTTCGAGTCGGTGCACGAGAAGCGGTACTTTTTGTGCCCGATGAAACTGTTAGCCGAATGGTCAGCTGGTATTTCGTCTACATTCCCTATTTTCTGATGTGTTCACTGGATATCATGACGAATCGAAAGATGAAAATGGTGAGAGTCAAAAAGATGTTGTAAGCTTTATGCCCAAATGTGTTATTATTATTTTAAAATTGCGGAGAATATGGTAAAAATAGCGATTTTTGATTGTGGAACATTTGATACGTGGCCCGCTTTCTTTGCCATTGGCAATCTAAATTTAAGCTCAAATATCTTGGTGTTGGGTTGTTCAATTTAAATGTTCTTGGTATCATTAGATGCGTCAAGTCTTTCTCTGTCGATTGATATAAAAACTGTTTAAATTGGACAGTCCAACACGCGTATAAAAGGTCCGTCGCCCCGCCCCGTTTCCCATTGGCAATCTAACTTTAAGCTCAAATTTCTTGGTGTTGGGCTGTCGAATTTAAATGTTCTTCGTGTCATTAGATGCGTCAAGTCTTTCTCTGTCGATTGTTACAAAAACCATTGAAATTGGACAGTTCGACACCAAGATATTTGAGCTTAAAGTTGGATTGCCAATGGTGAAGGGGCGGGGGGCGTATAAAAGGTCCATCGCTCCGCCTTCTTTGCCATTGGCAATCCAACTTTAAGATCAAATATCTTTGCGTTGGACTGTCCAATTTAAATAGTTTTTATACCAATCGACAGAGAAAGATTTAGCGCATCTAATGATATCAATAATTTCTGAATTCAACAGCCCAACACAAAGAAATTTGAGCTCAAAGTTAGATTGCTAATGGGAAAAGGGGCGGGGCGTGTATCAAAGGTTTGCTAACCATCTACAAAGGTGGTTTTACAATCGAGAAGTAAGTAAGTAACAAAAAGGAATAAGTAAAGTAAAGACTTAGCGCATCTAATGACATCAAGAACATTTAAATTGAACAACCCAACACCAAGAAATTTGAGGCTAAAGTTAGATTGCCAATGGCAAAAGGGGCGGGGCGACGGACCTTTTATACGCGTCCCGCCCCTTTTGCCATTGGCAATCCAACTTTGAGCTCAAATATCTTGATGTCGAACTGTCCATTTTCAATGGTTTTTATACCAATCGACAGAGAAAGACTTGACGCATCTAATGACACGAAGAACATTTGAATTCGATAGCCCAACACCAAGAAATTTGAGCTCAAAGTTAGCTTGCTAATGGGAAACGGGGCCGGGGCGCGTATCAAATGTCCGATAACCCCAATTGTTGCTTAGACGGATTGTAATTTCTTTTCCAAGGCCAGAGACTCCTAATAAACTTTATCATCTTAGAATTTATAGAATTTATAGAATGAAAATCCAATAATACTTTTTCAGTTGAAACGAAGTGGATCGGTTTCAAAATCCGAACGATTGCTGATGATACAAGTTTGATCAAAATTTTCTCGAAAAACCCTAGCTTTTTAGATGCTTATCAACTCATCACTAGCCATAACGAGCACAATTTTTTCCTATTTAATTGGAATCATTATGAATCTCTTTCTCGAAAGTGCTTATTTTGAGATTTTCGATGCAGTCCTTGTCTTCAATCAATTTCTCTTTTTCAACGTCATCGTTACGTGAGTTTTGCAAAAAAAAAAATATTTAGAAATCACAAAAATTCAGCATTGCCACAATCATTTGTTTTCGAAAGCCAAAGGAGCGGAGAAATTCGAAAAAAAGAGCCTCTGTCGTCTCAGTTCTACCACAAATGCATTAAATTCGTTTTCGAAAATGTTTTGAAATTATAATTAGAAATATTAGGTACATGCATAAGAAATCCAGATTTCAACATTTTCATAAATCGATATCCAACGATAGAAACCTGATATCGATGAATGTTATAAACTATTTGAAAGCTGTAAATCTCCTCTACAAAATAGGCTAAAACGTGTTTCAATTGATCGAACCATTGAAAAAAATTTCGAGGGCGAAATGCGAGTGACCAAAAAAGGAATCGAGTCACTTTAGGGACAAGTTTGAAGATTTGAAGAATCTTGAAGATTAGCAGCTGCCAAGCCTGCACTGTGCTCTTGTAGGAACTCATGAAGCATGACATGACGAATATGTCCCGGTGGCAGATTGTCGAGTGCAATAGAAGAAGTGAAGAAAAATGCCAAAAAATAAAAAGCTGAAAGCATAATTTTTTCGCAATAATTTGAGGATAGATTGAAGTAACGAAACCCCCTTTCAGCTGGTTCAATGCTGTTGTTTTTTTATCTGCGAGTCCCGCGAAATAGCCGGCAGTTTTCAATTCACCAACCCAATATTTGAAAGTTGTAAATCTCCTCTACAAAATAGGCTAAAACATTTTTCAATTGATCGAAACATTGAAGAAATTTCGAGGGCGAATTTTTGGATGAGTTTGACGTACACTACTGGACAATGAAATATGATATTTGAAAAACGATCGTCACTTTCGCGCGTCTATAACTATAACTCCCTTGTCTTTATCGTATTTCTAAATATTAATATTACCATTGTGTAGCCCTTGAAAAGAGCTTTCAGAAAATGGTATAACACTAATAGTCTAAACTCAAAGACAAGGGAGTTACAGACGCGCGAAAGTGACGATCGTTTTTCAAATATGATATTTCATTGTTCGTCGCAGATCGTCCAATTAATTCGTTATCCAATGTTTTAATAGGTAGAAAATTGAAACAGAATTTGAATGATCTTTGTTCCTTTGCTTAGACCTTTGTTTCCCCTTGTTTCTTTGTTCAGTATACTTTTACTTTTTCATTATTATACATTGAGTTATTGCGTTATTGCTATTGCACGCTCAAATGCGTCAAAAAATACCGTATTTCTAAATATCAATATTACCATTGTGTAGCCCTTGAAAAGAGCTTTCAGAAAATGTATAACACTAATAGTCTAAACTCAAAGGCAAGGGAGTTACAGACGCGCGAAAGTGACGATCATTTTTCAAATATCATATTTCATTGTCCAGTACTGTAGATGAGAAAAAAAGATATTTGGCTGGGGTTTTCGTGGTCAGGGAATCGATTAGAGCTAATCATTTAGAGTTCTTACAATAGCGCTTTCCACTATGATTTGTTTTTGTTCTATTAGGTACATGCATAAGAAATGCGGATTTCAACATTTTCATAAATCGATATCCAACGATAGAAACCTGATATCGATGAATGTTATAAACTATTTGAAAGCTGTAAATCTCCTCTACAAAATAGGCTAAAACGTGTTTCAATTGATCGAATCATTGAAGAAATTTCGAGGGCCAAATGCGAGTGACCAAAAAAGGAGTCACTTTAGGAACAAGTCACTTTAGGAACAAATTTAGTGTTGTCAAAATAGAGTTAGCCTCCCAAAATTCAAGATTTTAAAAAAGGATAACTATATATATCATTTCTATATCAATTCATTAAAAAAGTCTAACGGAAATGCATTTACAGAAATTTAGATAGAGCGTAAGTTCGAAACCCTCAAAATTGTCAAAAAAACCGGCTTTCGGTGATCATAGAAAATGAACTTATTTATTATCAAAGTATCGTTGTCTTGAATAGCTTTAGAATGTCACATAAACATAAAGTCAAAAAGGTTTAGATGAAAAAGAAGCACCAGAAATTCAAATTTTCGTGGGTGCACTACTATTTTTTCAACCCCCTCTCGGACCGCAATACTATTAGAGAGTGCACTACTATTAAAGAGTGCACTATTATTAGAGAGAATACGGTAAATATTCTGGTTTCAGCTCATTTTGAATGCTTTCTAGAAGATGACATAAAAAAGAAAACTTAAGGTCGCTCAAAAGTAATGGTCCCCTTGCCAATGCTGTAAAAGTTTTCGAGCTCTAAAGATATTTATTCAACAAAAGCAGTATAACTAGAAACAAAATCGAAAAAGACCGTAAAGGCGTAGATTAAAGGATTAAAGATTAAAGGCGTAGATTCTTAATTTGGTATTTATCCAAGCTTTAGTACTTGTTTTCTAGCTATTTCAAGCAGTTCCTTGAGGTTTTAAGCCTCTTAATTCGGTCTCGCACCTCTAAACCCAGTGAAAAGAGAGACACTCTTGAAGGCTCGGAATTGTTGCTCAAATTGGCATAAAAGTTGTTCAGAATGGTTTATAAAAAAACAAAATCTAGCTTTCTCATAAATATGCATAAATATTTTTGTTTCAGCTCATTTTGAATGCTTGCTGATGACATAAAAAGAAGATGACATAAAAAAGAAAACTTAAGGTCGCTCAAAAGTAATGACCCCCCTTGCCAATGCTGTAAAAGTTTTCGAGCTCTAAAGATATTTATTCAACAAAAACAGTATAACTAGAAACAAAATCGAAAAAGAACTAATATTTTGTATTTTGACCTTTTGCATGAATAATAACTTCAACTCGCCGAGGCATTGATTCAAAAAGCTTTTTGATAACTCCTGCGTCAATTTTTGTCCACTCTTCTTGTAATTTCCGGTACAAATCACCAGAATCTTTTTACTTTATATCCTTGGCATTGTTTCTTCAAATAATTCCATATATGTTCAATAGGATTTGCATCGGGACTCTGAGCAGGCCATTGAAGAACGGACACGCGATTTCGATTGAACCAAGTTTTGGTCCGTTGGACTGTGTGTTTGGGGTCGCGATCCTGTTGAAAAGTCCATCCGTTAGGCAAATTTTGCTTAGCATAAGGCAACATATAATTTTCCAAGATATCAACATACTTTTCGGCATTCATGATGCCTTTTATGCGCACGAGTGGACCAACTCCCAAACCCGAGAAACATCCCCAAAGAAGTACCGAGCCTCCCCCGTGTTTAACTGTTGGAATATTGTACGCCTCAACGTGCCGTGTGTTTTTTGGTCGTCGAATCCATTGTATTCCGTCAGAAGAAAAGAAGTTGACCTTCGTTTCGTCTGAAAACAAAACCGTCGACGAATCATCCACATTCTAATTTCGGTAATTCTTGGCCCAACTTAAGCGTTCCTTCTGATTTTTCTTTGAGATAAGCGGCTTCTTTGAGCCATGTCGACCCAATAATCCAGAATCGACAAGTCTTCGCTTTATAGTAGAAATGGAAGGTTGCACACCATCGGGATGTGGAATGTTTTGCAGAATTTCTCGTGCTCTTAAACGAGGAATCGATTTACTTTCGAGAACGAGTCTTCTGTCATATCTTTCATCGGTAATTTTGTTGCGTCCTTGCTTGTATTTGAACTCCAAAACCTTTTTCTTTTTGTAGGCACGATTCCAGCGCTTTGCCGTAGGGTATGGGATTCCAAAACTTCTTGCAGCTCTTTTGACACTCGATCCAGAGGGAACCTTGTCGAGGAGAATTTCGCGTAGAGCAAGCGGATAATATTTCTTGCCCATATCTGAAAAAATCAAAATAAATTAGAAATAAACTATAAAAGTAGAAAAAAATTGATTTATGAAAGTTGTTCAACACAAACGCTTAGGGGGGTCATTACCTTTGAGCGACCTTAAGTTTTCTTTTTTATGTCATCTTCTAGAAAGCATTCAAAATGAGCTGAAACCAAAATATTTATGCATATTTATGAGAAAGCTAGATTTTGTCTTTCAAAATATTACCCTGTGCATTTGTTTTATATGAAAAACCTAAAAAGTTTGGGGAGGGGGGTCATTGAGCGGCACTGAGCGGCACCTTTGAGCGGCACTGTATATAGCTTAGCGTTAGCCGAAATCAAAATTCTATTCCGTTATATGGAATTCCATTATAGAGAGAGTCGACTGTACTTTATTTCAATAATAAAGCGTCAAAAGACAATTATCGAAGCCGACTATGGAATTTAATCCAAAAAAGTTTAGATTCATTTTGAAACATTCACTTTCAATGGTCATTTCATTCAAATTCATTCATTCAATTCCACCATTTTCTCTCTTTTCAAATTTCGAGAATCGATACACTTTTCCCCTGCCAAAGATAGAAGTGGTTCTTCTCTTTTATGTAGATGGGACACTCTTTTGAAACATTCTCTTTACTTTTCTTAACCCCTTTTCCCTCTTTTTCTTTTCCTTTTTCTTCTCCTTAACTCACTCCTCCCATCCTAAGCACACTAAACACTAATTTCCACCCTCAGCCATCCTCTTTTGCCTCTTTTCTTGGCACCTTATCTAGATGGGAAAGTATTTTGAAATTCTGTTTTTTTTTTGTTAAATTAAACAATCATCAACATTCTACATAATTAAAAATATAGTAGTTATAAAAAGAGCTAATCCGGGAGTAAAAAGAGCTTTTTTCTTCTTTTTCTTCTTTCTTGATCTTTCAAAAGCTTGAGTTTCAAAAATCGTCAAGGGTCACGGAGAATGAGGATTTTAATGCCATGAAAGGAAACAATTTAACAGGTTTTTTTTTCTCAAACGGTTCCATTACGGGTTCAATACGGTTCCAATACGGTTCCAATACGTTTCCAATACGGTTCCAATACGGTTCAAGGGTCACGGAGAAGGAGGATTTTAATGCCATGAAAGGAAACAATTTAATAGGTTTTTTTCTCAAACGGTTCCATTACGGGTTCAATACGGGTCCAATACGGGTCCAATACGGGTCCAATACGGTTCCAATACGGTTCAAGGGTCACGGAGAAGGAGGATTTTAATGCCATGAAAGGAAACAATTTAACAGGTTTTTTCCCCAAATTTTCAAAATTTATTTGATATTTTTATTGATATTTCACTTTCTCGGGAGTGGGACAAATGCGACCTTTTTTTTGCGCACCCGGACATTTGCGCACCTT